GAAGCAACTTCTCAGTATCTGAGCCTGTTCTCCACTCTCTCTGCTTCTATCTTCACGGAGAAATTTATCCAGTCTATGAGGATTGCCAATCTGACAGTGTCAAATCAGGCCCAAGTCAGTACTTATGTTAATCCTTAGCCAAGCAATTTTCTCAACAGTAAAAAACAAACAAAAACAATAATATATACACCAGTGACATTGGGCAAGAAGCAAAAAGCATTTAAAAAATCAAATCCTGGGCTGCAGGCCTGGCTCAAAAGGTAGAATGCCTGCCTAGCAAACACAAAGCCTTTGAATTCAAATCCAGTACAAAAATAAATAAATAAACAAACCCAAGTCTTAGCCATGGAGCAGAGAAAGAAGCACATTCTGGAAAAAGAAAGAAGTCTTAAATTTAATTGGGCAAAAATAATATTTATAGTGTCTGTTCCTAACACTGTTTAGCATTGCCACTTTCAACCCTAGTAGAGATTCAGAAATTGGATGCTGACTATAAACTTGCAGACAAAATGGGAACTGCTACATAAAGAAACCTACAGGTAGAACAGCACTAACCCTAAACAGTTTTCACCTCATTATCACCTCCAATGAGTTTAATGAGAATAATGAAAAGCAACTATATCCCAGCATGGATTCCTGGTCAGATGAAAATATCTGGTGTTTCTGAACACTATCAGGCTGTCTAGACTTTTCAGGGTGGCCTGGAATCATCTTCTTCAGTAGATGTTTCAATTAAGGGCTGATTTCTCAGGCATACCCCAGACCTACTGAATCAGAATCTCTTGGATGAAACCAACGATATATAATTTTAACAACCTCAGGTGATTTTTCTACACACTGAACTTTTAAAACCACTGCTTTAGAATTGAAGAGTACTTGCCAAAAGAGTATGAAGAATGTTGACAATATGGACTAGAGAAGACAGTATACTTTATGGAATAATAGAAATCAGTATGGTCCTTACGTGTTTAGAGTTAGGAGCAGACAAAAACTCAATTACAATGACAACTTTATTTTATTCAAGAGTGCATAATGTACATTTCTCTCATCATTCAAAATCTGTTCTTCAAATCAGTCAATTACCATCACTCTCCATCACAAAAATAATTTATATCATGTAGTAAGTAGCAAATTATGATCAAGGAATGAACAATCAATGTTTGCGTGGGGTTGGTATCTGGTGAATTTATCTTCCTCTTTTGGCCTCTCATTTGCTTGATAATCTTTAAAATTGTAGCAGACTGCAGCCCCTCCCCTTCTTCCTGAATGCATGCATGGTCACCTAATTAATGACTACAATTCTCAAACTCCCTTGAAGTTACATGTGACCACATTACTAAGTTTGAGACAATGGTACATAATTTCCAAATCATCTCCATAAAGTCAGGCTGGTTTCTAGTCTTTGGCTTTTCTCACCTTTCTGTAAACTGAATCAAGGAAACGAGAGATTGGCTTCACTCATGCATAATGAACAATACCCAAGGAGATGAAGAACAAGATAGAAGGATCTCAGTTCTTGATTAACCCTATAGAAAAGAGCTGTTCTAGCAGCCAATGTAGGCTGAACATGAGATAGCTCCCTTATTAAAGCCACTGTTTTTTCCCCTCTTTTTGCTTTAGAATCTTAGCAATCATCCTAACAAATACCAATAACCAAGCTTAGCTAATAAACACTTAAAGATACCCATTGAAGGCTGGTGGAGTAGTTGAAGTGGCACAGTGCCTGTCTAGCAGGCGCGAGGTCCTAAGTTCAAACCCCAGTACTATCAAAAAAAAAAAAAGGAGATAAACCAATTTGAGCTCTAATACATATAAATATGGAAATGTCACAAGGAAACTTCCTGTATAGCTATCTTAAACAAAGAAAAATGTCATTTTTTTTTTCAAAATTGGAGAATGGGAGGACAAAACAGGTCCTGGCTGGGGGGAGAAGTATCAGTGGGGGTGAGGAGGATGTGGGGAAAGGATGTAGGAGGGTGAATACGATGCAAATAATGTGCACACAGACCTGTTGAAGCTATTCCAGGAATGGGGAGAATATGGAGCATAATGGAGGGGCTGAATTAAATGATGATACAGTTGATAGATTGTAAGAACTTTTGTAAATGCCACAATGTACCCCCAGCACAACAATGAAAAAAAGGGACACCATTGAATCAGATGGAACATTGGCAAAGTTATGTATGTCCTTCCCCCAAAATTCTTTGTTTTCATACATGGATCCTATTAAGAAAATATTGGAGGCTGGTGGAGTGGCTCAAGAGGTAGAGTGCCTGCCTAGCAAGCATGAGGCCCCAAGTTCAAATCCCCAGTACCTCAAAAAAAAACAAAAAAAAATTGGAAAAGTTAAAGGTACTTTAATTATGAAAGGAGACTACACAAAAGCCTAAAACATAAGGACATATAGATGGTCACCACGCATGCAGGTAAGATCTACATTTATGAAGCTAGTTTGACTCATCCAACGCACAACTTTGTCCTTATGGGCCATTTTATATCACATTAGCGTACTCTCCTTTCAAACATATCAACAAAAACCACAATTCTTCATGTCAGGGGGAAAAAAAAGAAATCCTTAGGGCTGGGGAAACAGCTCAGTTGTAGAGTGCTTGTCTAGCATGCATAAGCCCCCAGATTTGATGCCCAGCATTATAAAATAACACTCTTAAACTTATTTCATGTGTTGAATTGTACTTTCTTAAGACATCTGGAAAACCAGTATTTCATGCTGTCTATATTGCCTGTTCCTAACACTGTTTAACATTGACACTTTCAACCCTAGTACAGATTTGAAAGTATAATTGAATATGCCTATAAATATATATACACAGAAAAAATACATTAAAATGTTATTAGTCAGTTATGAGCTGGGCATGGTGGTATACACCTGTAATCCCAGGACTCAGGAGCCTGAGGTAGGAGGATAGTGAGCTGGAGGCCAGCCTGGGGTACATAGTGAGACCCTGTCTCAGAACAAACAAACCATTATTAGTAATGGGACTGCATAACTTATTCAGTTATAAGACTGCAGATTATTTTCCTGTTCTTTTATTTCTCAATTTTCAAAGCTTTGTATGATTAACTCATAGGGTTTTTTTTGGTTTTTTTTTTGGCAGTACTGGAGCTTGAACTCAGGGCCTCACATGACTAACTCACAGTTTTATATGGAAAGAACAACACAGACATTTACAGTACCTCATAACTATAGTAGAAGATCTCATTCTGTTTCCATGTCCAAAGACTTGCACATAGATACCCAATAAATAAATGAGAGAAGGAAGAAAGCAAAAAGGAAAGAGAAATGGGATGGAAAGGGAGGAATCTACTGGATATAGTCTGCTTGCTCCTTCAGATCTATTCTCCATCCTGCTCTCAGCACTAAAAGGCTGACTTACTGCCTGGTTGGCTTCCCTTCCCCTCTGGTTTCTGGTTGGGTTTGGCAAAGAGAATGGATACACCAGCAAGAAAACAGGTAGGAAGGAGATATTTATTCCCTGGGACAGCTCGCTGTCCTGCAGGTCACTGCAGCCTGCTCCGTGCCTCAACCCACCATATCCAAGACTCTTTGCAGAGTTTTGGTTGGGAAAACACTCCTCACTTTTCCCTGGAGATCTTAGGGAGTAATAATGACCTGCTTTTACTGGGTCCAGGATACTGCACTCTCCTTCGTATTTTCTTTTGTCTTTTTCAGTCCTTTATAAATAGTCCCTTTATTAAATTATCCTTAAATTGTCCAATTTGAATATTCCATATGTGTATTGCCAACACACAGACAGGTACTGAGTTTGCTGCTGATAAGAGTCCAACAATTTCTAATCTTGAAGAAAGATTCCGAAAAGTTTAAAAACAATCACTATTGCTCATTTCAAAAGTATAAACAATTTTTATTTTCAGCTGAGCGCTACTGTTTACACCAAAGATTTTGTAGTTATTAACTGCAACTAGTTATCATGCTTTTTATCATACCAAAAGAAAAAGACAAAAATTTGCAGTTAAAAAGTTCAGGGCGGGGCACCAGTGGCTCACACCTGTAATCCTAGCTACTCAGACAGCAGCAATCAGGAGATCACAGTTCAAAGCCAGCCTGGGCAAACAGCTCACCAGACCCTACCTCAAAAAAACTCATTACAAAAAAGGGCTGGTGGAGTGGCTCAAGGTGTAGGACCTGAGTTCAAATCCCTATACCACAAAAAAAAATTTCACATGGTAAATGAATAAAAAAATTTAAAAAGTTCACATGGATTGTCCTTTCTTCACTCTTAAATAACCATCAAAGATTAAACACCCTCAAAACACTTGATATTGATGGCGTAATACATTCACAAATGCAGGTTATCTGTTGTGATGTGACAATAGACTTAGCATAGTTATTTCTTTTCAAAAATTAATTTTCATCCATTTGTCAACATGGCTTTTCATGGCTTCTTTTTTTGTTGTAATACTGGGGGTTGAACTCAGGGCCTTATGCTTGCTACCACTTGAGCCACTCCACTCCCAAATTATATGCAATTTTATTTTTTGTTTGTGGTGATGGGCCCAGGGCCTGGCATGTATGAGTCAAGCACACCACTGCTGAGTAACACTCATGGTTTTTTATTTAAAATCCCTGAAGGCAAATTTTTTTAACCTAGAAAGATCTGTTGGAACTATTTTAGTATTTAAAGTTAATATTAATTTTATTAAAGTTACAAATGCAAAAACTGGGGCTCTTAAATTCAATGTATAAATCTTACTGCTTTATTTCTAAATCAGGTGAATTTTAACACATACCTTTAAAAGTGTCCTCTTTTTTGTCTTTGTTTGAGACAGGGCTTGATATGTAACCCAGGCTGGCCCTGAACCTTGGTCCTCCCTCCTCAATCTCCCAGTTGCTGGGATTATACATGTGTGCCACCATACCCAGCTAAACTGACCTTTATTAATACTTGGTATCATTTTAAAAATTAGTTAAGTTTCACTTAAATATTGAATTGAATATATTCTTTTTACTTAATGCTACTGACTAGCCAAACTTTTCCAAGTATTTAGAATATGAATCTAATAAAATTATAAGTCCTATGACTCTTAAGTTCTCTTAAACATTTCAATACTTTTTATGAACTTTTTAAATAAACTTTGCAAATTTATCCTAATTTTTAAAATCTAAACTTAAAACTCAATGACACATTTTTAATTAGAATCATGAAGCTAATAATATTCATCTGCCAAATTTTTCTTAAATATTACAAATAATTAAAATATGAAACACAGATCAATCACTTTTAAAGTTAATGCACGGCTGGTGGAGTAGCTCAAGTAGTAGAGTGCTTGCCTGAGTTCAAACCCCAGTACCGCAACAAAAAGAAAAAAAAAGTTAATGCAAAATGATAATTTTTTGATTACTAGCTCACTATTTCTATTTATAAGGGTTAAATGAGTTTTATCAGCAAGCAAACTGGAGCTAATACAACAAGCAAGCTGATTTAACTACCCTAATAAAAAGGGTTACCTGTTCAGCAACTGATACTGAGCCACAAACTTCTGACCAAGGCACCTCTGGAACAGTCAACATTTAGGGCAACTTTTCTTGCACCATTCATGTAACCGGAACTGTATTTTATCGTCACTTTGCAATTAAAGACTCTAACCCCATTCTTATCCAAGTGGGGCTACTTCAAACACCCCATTCCTGGATTCAGGTTATATATTACCTAATACTCAATGATTATTTATTTATTATTTGATCCTATTCTTAATTATTTTCATATTTTCCTTTTGTTTATGGAAACAACTTTTATAGATATTTTAATGATATCTAGTTAGGCTTTGCTTATATTTTTGTCTGTATCATGCTAATACCAATAGTCTTTGACCTTCACCACAAGTCTTCGAGTTACCATGTGATAAGAATGGCCTGATTAAAGAACACATTTCATAGGTGTCTGGAGTTTGCTCTTTAATGCTTTCCCCTTTTGGGTCCTGCTCTTGGGTGGTATGCCTTGGCCTGTGATGGATTGGCCTGGCATGACTTTTGTTGATTGAGCTTGGACTTAGTAGACTTAGATTGGGTGTTCTGGGGTTGGCATGGCCTGGGCTGAACGAATTTGGATGGAGAAAGTTTAGCTTGGGAGGATTGGGGATGAGGTGGTTTGGATGAAAAAGTTCAGCTTGGGAGCACTGGGAATGAGATGATTTGGATGAAGAGGGTTTGGCTTGGGAGGACTGCTGATGAGGTGGTTTGGATGAAGAAGATTTAGCTTGGAAGATCTGGGGATACGGTGGTTTGGATGGAGAGGGTTTAACTTGAGAGCATTGAAGATGAGGAGGTTTAGGTTGAGATGGCACAGGTTGGGAGAGTTTGGACTGGAAGTGGTTGACTTGAGATCCCATGGGCTGATGGGATTTGAACTGAGAGCTGGGTTTACTCCTAGACATGGAATGGAATCCTGTTTGGAAAGCTGAATCTGAAGGCTTATCCTGTGTCATTAGTTGGGCTTCTTTATGAGAAGTAGGTCTCACCAGTTTTTGTATGGCTCCTGCTGACTGAAATGATTGAGAGTAAGGATGTCTAAAATGAGATGTTCTCATTAATTTCCTAGTTGCTTCAGTTAGCTGTGTTCCCTGAGTATGGGCATGCCCAGGCTGTGGCGTTCTTACTGCTCTTTCTAGCTGTGAACCCAGAAAATGGATGTGACCTAGCTGGGAGACTCCAGACCTTGTAAGAGCTTCCATTGTTTGTGGTCTCTCAGAACAGGCCCCAAAATGCTGAGAAGTGGATCTTGGTGTTCTCCCAAATGTTCCATGCAAGTTATGTCTCCAAGGAGTTTTTGAAAATTTCATGAATCTTTCACCTGAATAAAATCTCTGGGGTTGGAAGTATTTAATATCAAAACTTTTACCCCAGGTATGAGCCCTTGAATTCTGAAAGGGCAAAGGACAGAACCACTTACCCCTGTGCTCTGACCCAAAGTGGGAGGCCATAACCCATGTGGCTTTCAAGGAAACAGAGTTAAATTTACCTCTAGTTATGGTTGGTAGGGAACAGTTTTCCTGATGAGGCAAGAAAACTGGACTGTGGTGAAAATTCTGGCTGACTTCATACCTATCTCCAGGCTCTCTTACAGGCATCTGAGCTGGGCTTTCAGATAAGCTTTTTGTCTGACTATGTTTTTGTTGTCCTTCATCTTCAGCTGTCCTAGCCATGTTTTCACTATGGAAAACCTGAACCCCTTGAGTGGTCTCAAAATCTTGGTCTACCTGAATCCCCAACTCTCTAGCTTGAAAGGCCATATCTTCCATAGACACACATCTGAATGAAGAGGCCATCACTTCCTGAAGAGCAGTTTGAAGGGCCTTCATATTCTTCCTTCTGTCCTCAGCTTCCTCCCCCTCCCAAAACAATAGTTGTGATGGCTTCAATTTAAGGATCCTCTGGAAAATCTGAGCCTCTTCACTCTTCCTGGCCTGGGGACTGAGGACAAAGTAGCATCTTTCAATGGCAGCTTCTCCTAAAAACATTAGCAAGTTCCATTCCTTCTCACCTATATAGTCAGTGAAAAAAAACACAGCTGAGGAAACTTCCATCAAAAAACCAAACTGAATCCAAAAGTTTTCTAAATCTCCACGAAGGTTGGCCACAGCAACAGGCTTTTGGAAAAAATTACAGCTTTCCTTTAGATCAACACTATCAGGGAAACACCATGTTATCTCAACCAGGCCATCAGATATTTGTCTGGGAAGCACCAGATCAGACAAATCATGATGGAGGAAGATTTTGTGTGATTCCAATTGGGTAGGGTTGAGCAGTGTGTTGAGGATTCTGGACTTGGAGAAGCTACAGTATCCTAGACGCACAAAAGAGATGACAGGCATCTTCATGAGAGTCAGAAACTTTTCCGTGTCACCTGTGGGCCTTCCTGAAGACTGTGTTGACTGCTTCTTCACAATGCCCTTCATGGCCCCCAGCATTAAGATGATTTTGTTGTTTTCTGCATCTGGTAGTAGCAGGGGAAGGGCAAACTGGCATTGAAACATGTTGGACATGACTTCACGTTGCAAAGAACTGTCTGAACACAGCATGGAGGCACAAAGGACATCAAGAGGATTAATAGCTTGTATGTCTTGAATTCCCAAATTTTCCATTCCAGTCAGCAGTTCATCTTTGTTATCTTCATCAGGAACCCTGTGCCTGAGGATTGACTCTCTTGCTGTCACATCCAGTGCTTGAATTTTCATTAGGAAATTCCAAGCTAAGTCTCCTGGAATCTCAGGTGTCCACCCACATCCTTGATCTAAGGAGAACTGTTTAACAAAATCTGGCAGAATCTTTCTGCTTCTATCTATGTTCAAACAGGACAGGACATCTTTAAATACCTTTTTTCTTTCTGTAAAGAAGAAGGTACATGTGTCAATTAAAAATAAAAATATAAGCCAGGCTCAGGCCTGTAATCATAGCTACTCAAGCAGCAGAGATCAGGAGAATCTTAGTTTGAAGCCAGACCAGGCAAATAGTTCTGCAAGACCCTATCTCAAAAAACACTCATCACAAAAAAGGGCTGGTAGAGTGGCTCAAAGTATAGGCCCTGAGTTCAAGTCCCAGTACCAAAAAATAAATAAATAAAAATAAAAATACAAGCTGTCCTATAATCCCAGCACTCAGCAGGCTAAGGCAGGAGGATCTCAAGTTCAAGTCCAGCTTAGAATATATAGCAAGACTCTGTTTCAAAACAACCAAGCTAAATAAATAAATATATATAGAAAAATAATAAAAAGTAAATTATATGGGAGGATGTGCATAGGCTATACACAACTACTATGTCATTTTATATAAGGGGCTTGAGCTTTCATAGATTTTTGTCCTAGACTCTTTCCCTTGGACTCTGAAGAACAACTTCTATCCGCCATTTCCCAAATTCTAGGCGTTCCTTCATTTAATATTTCGTCTCTGAAGACATTCCAAGTTAGAAAGTATTCTTTTTTTTTCTTTGTGGGACTGGGGTTTGAACTCAAGGCTTCCCACTTGCAAAGCAGGTACACTTCCAGTTCCCAAGTGAGAGACAAATAAGCAATTTCTGATTAATGGATTTGCTACTGATATCCATGCCCCATCATCCCCTCTCCCCATCAAGTTGAGGCCATCTTAATTAATTAATAAGTTGTTGCCTAAATAACTATACATACATTGTTTCCCTACCTTCCATATTTTTTTCTTCCTTCTCCTCTTCCTCCTCCAATGAAATGCTGATTTCTGAATCATCATAATTGTGCTCTTCATCAGATAATGCTGTGGTTTCTGAATAATCAAGGTCCTCTTCACCATCATATACAATGTGATCAGGGTCATCATAATCCCCCTCTTTCCCAGTCATTTCTGCATCTTCAGGGTATCTGATAGGTTCTTGATAGTCCTCTTTTCCTAAGTACAAAGAATCATCTGGCTCCTCATATCTCTGTCCATCCTTTAAATATGTAATAGTTGCTGGGATTTCATATTTAACTTTTTCAACTGGATATGGCAATGTGACTTTTGGTGTGTCACATTCCTTCTCATTATCCTTAGTGGACAAAGCAGTTTCCTTATTCCTGAAAAACTTGAAAGTTTCCAAATTCAACTGTTCCTTCTCATTGGTGAACATTGTGATCTCAGGATTCTCAGGTTTTTTCTTCCCAGGGAAAAATGTATCTTCTGAATTCTTGCTTACCCCCATAGATAGAGGTGCTATAGTCTCATGTTGTAAAAATTCTGAAAAGAACAAGATTTGGTTATTTGTTTTTCCAAAGCCATAAACTGTAAAATAATTTGAGTTTCAGGTTTTCAAAGCATCATCTCCCTCTTTTCTTGAGATGAAATCTATGTTCCCTAGGCTGACCTTGAACTCCTGGCCTCTACTGGTCTACCTTCCTCAGTTTCCTGGTGCTACAGGCATGCCATCCCTCTTCTTTATTTCACTGGAAGACAGGAATAATTTGCATCCTGCCTCATTTACATGGCAACAAATCATCTGTAGAACTCTCTTTTTCTCATGGAAAAATCAGATTCCACCAATGCCTTGCTCAAAAGTTTGAGCCTCCTTCACAGGGTAAATGAGTGAAACAATTTTAATTATGAACAGTGTTCTCTTACAGACTTAGATTATAGACTGAGATTTTTTGGAACCACTGCTAATGACATCCAATCTTAGTGATTCCTAATGGATAAGCAAATAGCTATAATTGGGAATAGTATGTCCTAGAAACAGTAAAACCTATTTTTCTAAGCATGTGAGTCTGACATACATTAAGAATCATTAATATTCACTTTTTTTATCTGAACGCCTACCTCTAAATTTGTTAAAATAATCCTAAGTGGGCTGGGGTGTGGCTGAAGTGGTAGAACACCTATCTGCCTAGCAAGCATGAGGCCTTGAGATCAACCCCCCAGCACCACCAAACAAACAAACAAACAAACAAAAAAACCCTGAATTATCTTTTAGGTTTTTAAAAGATGATTTAGACTAAAAACAAAAAAAAGGAGCTAAACCTGCCTCTAATGGTAATTTCCAGAATTGCTAAAACAATACATTGCAGAATAACTGCTCTCTCATCTGTCATTAGTTATTATTGTCTTTGTAGCCCATCATTTGCATCTTTTTTTTTTAAGAAACTATAATTTTTGTTTTGAGACTGGATCTCGCTATTGAGCCCAGGTTGGCCTGGAACTCTCTATGTAGCCTAGGTTGGCCTCAAACTTGTGATGATCTTACCTCAGCCTGGGATTACAGGCATGGACCACCATGTCCTCACAAGAGGCTATCAATTTGTATTAGTACATATTAATTGTATAAAATAGTGCATTTAATTTTCATTATGACATTTTCATACATGTATACTTTGATCATATTCATCCCCCTCCATTATCTTCTTTTGCCTCCTCTCCCTCCCCTCACTGGTCCCTTTTCCCAAATAGTACCCCCCTTCTACTTTCATGTCCTTTTCTTTTTTTTGGACAGAACTGGGGTTTGAACTCAAGGCTTTGCACTTTTCAGGCAACTGCTCTACCACTAAAGCCACATCCCTGGAACTTTTATGCTTTTCAGTTATTTTTTGAGTATGATCTCTTGTTTTTGCCTTGAGCTGGCATTGGCTCCTACCTACACTACCCTATAGGTGGGACCACAGATGTGTGCTACCACATCCAGCTTACTGGTTGAGATGGGGTATGGGGTCTCACTAGCGTTTTGCTCAGGCTTGCCTTGAACCATGACCCTACCTATCCCCCTCTCATGTAGCTGAGATTACATCATATGCCACCATGCTTCACTTGTCTTTTAAAAAAAATCTAAATTCCATAAATAGGAGAAAAGATGAGATATTTCTGAGTCTACCTCATTTTGCTTAATGTAATTATCTGTAGTTCCATCCATTTTCCTGCAAATGACATGACTTCACTCTTCTTTATGGCTAAACCAGACTCTATTGTGTGATTTCTTTATCGATCGTCTGTTGATTGGCACATAAGCTAATTTATTTTAGCTACTGTGAATAGTGCCACAATAAACACCGGTATGTAGCTATCTCTATTATATGCTGACTTTGATTCCTTTGGTCCATTATTTTTGAACCATGTATTAGCATTTATGTATATTTCAAAATGAACAGTAGAGATTTTGAAATGATGAGGAAATGAATGACCCTGATCTAATTATTAAACCTTGTATACATATATTGAATGATCACACTAAACCCTATAAATATGTACAATTATTATATATCTATTAAAAATAATATAATTAATTTTTTTAAAGGAGCATTAATTCATATGGTGCAATTAAGCTCCAGAAAAATTCAGGTATTCTTATCACAGAGTAAGGAAGTTACTTATTTGCCTTTTAGGTGTGTTAAAAATTATTTTTCCTGTGTTTTCAAACTGACTAGCCAAAGTGAAAGTGGTTGAGGTCTCCAAATGGTAATATCAGTGAATTCACTTCCTTGAAAAAGAAACTCCCAGATTGTGCCATTAGTAACTATGAATTCCAACTGCTGAATTCAGCCTTCACTGCCAGAACAATGAGCACCATATGGTAACATCAGAACAATGGAAAATTTTGGTACAGTATGAAAAACAAATTCTAGTCTCCTAAATCAATTCCTTGTTTTTTAAATTCTGCCCTTCCCCCATCTCATTTTTCAGCAAAAGTTATGTCTGGAAGAAAGACAAATAAAAATAAAACATGGTAATTTTCTTCTTTCCAGAGAATCTGCTCCCTCCCTTTTACTGCCAAAGTGTGATTCCACTTACCATGCTGAAAGTCACAGGCGGCAGCTGACTCTGGAAAAGTGCTGGACAAACACCTGAGGAAATCCTGGCAGCTCCCCTCGCCCTTTTTCTGTACCAAAATTAACAACTTCCTACTTTTCTTCAGTGGATCTGTAACTTTGTCTAGAGCCTCATACTCTTTCTCAGAAATCAGCCTCCGAGAGGTTAATGTGTCTAAAACGGAATCAGGATCCTGCTGGAGGATTTCAAGCAACTTTCTTCGTTGTCCTTCTATGATCTCTGAGGGAATGGCTTCGGTAGCCATTGCTTCTGTTACCTCCAGACTAGGAAGTTCTTCTGATAGGTAAACAAGGGTTTTTACAAGAGAGTTTGCTCCTTTGACAAAGATAAACTATGTCAATGCCCCCTAGTGTTGGAGGAAACAGATACAAACAAGCACAGTAAAGGAACCCAGTCCTAAGTAGTGTCTGACTCTGGCTTGCTGTGAATTTTCTGCTTTGTGTGTGTCTGGCAATGGGGAGAGAATCCAGGGCTGGGCTCCTGATGCTCTACCACTGAGCAGCAATCCCAGTGGGACCTGCTCTTCTGAGGATCACACTAAGTCTCATTTGATTCAGCCTGAGGTCACCTCCTCTAAGAAGCCTCTCTTGAACTTCAGGTTGGAGTATGTACTCCCTGCGCTGAGCATTATACTTTATGATAGGAATATAAATTGATTGATTTTTGAAGAGCATTCTCGCAATATGCAGCACTAAGTATGAGTTAGACTGATAAAAAAAATTCATACCCTTTGATACAGCAATTCCACCTTAGGAAATTATCTTAGGGAAATAATCAGATGAATGCCCAAATATGTATGTGGAAGAATCTGCATTACAACATTATTTATAATGGCAGAAAATTTAAAAATAACCTATGTTCCCATAAATTGGGCATTGTTATAAATGTTAAATCAACGTTATGTAAACAGTGATATGCCAAAGAACTTTTAAAAAGATGAGATAAATCTCTATGTATTGAGAAATAATGATATCCATAATACGTTGTTATACAAAACAGTAAGTTACAGATTCCATTTAAAAAACATGTGCATAGCATATGTTCATAAATATACCTATATAATAATTCGAAAAACATAGTCCAAATTCCAACACTGGTTATCTCGGAGGATATGATTACAGAAGGACATACACTTTCTACTTTCAACTTTTCTTATATATATATATTTTTTTTCTTTTTTTTTGAGACAGGTTTCTCTATGTAATCCAGGCTGGCCTCAAACCTACTATCCTCCTGCCTCAGTCTCCTGAGTGCTGGGATTACAGATGTACATTATTGAATCTGGCCTACTTTAAACATTAAAAGTAGTTTTTATTAGCATACCTTTCTCATTTGGGGCTTTTTTTTTTTGAAACTACCTAGTTGCTAGTTGATCTTTAGTTACATAATTCATAAGAACCTGGAAACAATCTAACTAACTATCAACCAGATTCTGGGTGAATAGACTGTAGTATTTCACTTCATATATTATACAGCATTCAAGAAAGAATGAACTTCAGTGACCTACCCTATAGAAAAATCTTAATATTAAGGGAAAACTGTAAGTTCTCAAAAGATTACATTCAGCATGACACCCTTTTAAAGTTAAACACAGAACACACACACATTTAGGAATATTTATAAAGTTGTTAAGAAAATATTAGCTGATAGGTGAACCTGTAGTCCCAGCTATTGGGGAGGCTGAGGCAGGAAGGATTGCTTAAGCCTAGGAATTGGAGGCAGGCTCGGACAATGTAGCAGGACCTATCTCAAAAAAAAAAATTAAAAACTATATAAAACTTTTAAAAAACCCAAATGAATATGAAATTCAGAATGATGGTTATCTCAAGTGGGGAAGGGGAAGTAAAGAAGCAAAGACAAAAACCACTTGATCATCTCAATAGATGCAGAAAAAGCCTTTGATAAGATCCAACACCATTTCATGATAAAAGCTCTAAGAAAACTAGGAATAGAAGGAAAGTTCCTCAACATTATAAAAGCTATATATGACAAACCTACAGCCAGCATTATACTTAACAGAGAAAAACTGAAACCATTCCCTTTAAAATCAGGAACCAGACAAGGATGCCCACTATCGCCACTCCTATTCAACATAGTACAGGAATTCCTAGCCAGAGCAATTAGGCAAGAAGGAGGAATAAAAGGAATACAAATAGGTAAAGAAACTGTCAAAATATCCCTATTTGCAGATGACATGATCCTATACCTTAAAGACCCAAAAAACTCTACTCAGAAGCTTCTAGACATCATCAATAGCTATAGCAAGGAAGCAGGATATAAAATCAACATAGAAAAATCATTAGCATTTCTATACACTAATAATGAACAAACTGAAAAAGAATGTATGAAAACAATTCCATTTACAATAGCCTCAAAACAAATCAAATACCTAGGTGTAAACCTAACAAAAGATGTGAATGACCTCTACAAGGAAAACTATAAACTTCTGAAGAAAGAGATTGAGGAAGACTATAGAAAGTTGAGAGATCTCCCATGCTCATGGATTGGTAGAATCAACATAGTAAAAATGTCTATACTCCCAAAAGTAATATACATGTTTAACGCAATTCCCATCAAACTTCCAATGACATTCATTAAAGATATTGAAAAATCTACCGTTAAATTTATATGGAAACACAAGAGACCACGAATAGCCAAGGCAATACTCAGTCAAAACAACAATGCTGAAGGTATCACGATACCTGACTTCAAACTATATTACAAAGCAATAACAATAAAAACAGCATGGTACTGGCACAAAAACAGACATGAAGACCAGTGGAACAGAACAGAGGACCCAGATATGAAGCCACACAACTATGAACAACTTGTCTTTGACAAAGGAGCTAAAAATATACGATGGAGAAATAGCAGCCTCTTCAACAAAAACTGCTGGGAAAACTGGTTAGCAGTCTGCAAAAAACTGAAACTAGATCCATGTATATCACCCTATACCAATATTAACTCAAAATGGATCAAGGATCTTAATATCAGACCCCAAACTCTTAAGTTGATACAGAAAGAGTAGGAAATACTCTGGAGTTAGTAGGTATAGGTAAGAACTTTCTCAATGAAACCCAGCAGCACAGCAACTAAGAGATAGCATAGATAAATGGGACCTCATAAAACTAAAAAGCTTCTGTTCATCAAAAGAAATGGTCTCTAAACTAAAGAGAACACCCACAGAGTGGGAGAAAATATTTGCCAGCTACACATCAGACAAAGGACTGATAACCAGAATATATAGGGAACTTAAAAAACTAAATTCTCCCAAAACTAATGAACCAATAAAGAAATGGGCAAGTGAACTAAACAGAACTTTCTCAAAAGAAGAAATTCAAATGGCCAAAAACACATGAAAAAATGCTCACCATCTCTAGCAATAAAGGAAATGCAAATTAAAACACACTAAGATTCCACCTCACCCAGAATAGCCATCATTAGCAACACCACCAACAACAGGTGTTGGCGAGGATGCGGGGAAAAAGGAACCCTCTTACACTGTTGGTGGGAATGTAACTAGTACAACCACTCTGGAAAAAAATTTGGAGGCTATTTAAAAGCTAATTGATCTACCATTTGATCCAGCAATGCCACTCTTGGGGATATACCCAAAAGACTGTGACACAGGTTATCCAGAGGCACCTGCACACCATGTTTATTGTGGCACTATTCACAATACCAAGTTATGGAAACAGCCAAGATGCCCACACTGACGAATGGATTAAGAAAATGTGGTATCTATACACAATGGAATTTTATGCAGCCATGAAGAAGAACGAAATGTTATCATTCACTAGTAAATGGATGGAATTGGAGAACATTATTCTGAGTGAGGTTAGCCTGGCCCAAAAGACCAAAAATAGTATGTTCTCCCTCATATGTGGACATTAGATCAAGGGCAAACACAACAAGGGGATTGGACTATGAGCACATGATAAAAGCGAGCACACAAGGGAGGTGAGGATAGGTAAGAAACCTAAAAAATTAGCTAGCATTTGTTGCCCTTAACACAGAGAAACTAAAGCAGATACCTTAAAAGCAACTGTGGCCAATAGGAAAAGGGGACCAGGAACTAAAGAAAAGGTTAGATGAAAAAGAATTAACCTAGAAGGTAACACACACGCACAGGAAATTAATGTGAGCCAACTCACTGTATAGCTATCTGTATCTCAACCAGCAAAAACCCTTGTTCCTTCCTATTATTGCTTATACTCTCTCTACAACAAAATTACAAATAAGGGCAAAATAGTTTCTGCCAGGTATTGAGGGGGTAGGAGGAGAGGGAGGGGGCGGAGTGGGTGGTCAGGGAGGGGGTGGGGGCAGGGGAGAGAAATGACCCAAGCCTTGTATGCACATATGAATAATAAAACAATAAAAAAAACCCAAATGAATATGAAATTCAGAATGATGGTTATCTCAAGTGGGGGAGGGAAGTCATGGAGTTAAATACATCCTTAGTAAATGCTAAGGATGTATTTGTAGGAAAGGATTATGATTGACCCAATTCTGGGGTCCCTGAGGTTGAAAAATGAATTTTAAAGTCCTTATATGAAAATTAATTTTAAATTGAAGGTTTTTCCCTCAAATATATTTCATGTTTTTAAATTTTATTCATTTGCTTGACAATTATATTTCTACAGTTATGATCACACAGTGATGTTGATATATAGATACACATACAGTGCAGAATGACTGAATTAATTTAATGAATATATCCATCAACTTAAATACTTCTTTATTCTTCCTGTCTAGCTGCAATGCTGTGTCTTTTGGCCGAGAGCTTCCCATTCCCTCAAGCCCCAGCCTCCTGTATTCACCATTATACTCTTAGTAAGATTTTTTTAAAAATATGTATCTCAAAAGTGTCTCTTTCAAAAGATGGATTTCTCACTCAGGTTTGGAATTAAGAAAAAAAAGAGAGAGAGAGAGAGAGATGGATTTCATATCACGCCCCCAAGTTCTTTGGTAATGTCATCAAGTTTGTCAATCATTTTTTAATGTTTTTTGTTTATTTGCTTTTTTGTCAATACTGGGGTTTGAGGTAAGGGCCTTATGCTTGCTGTGCAAAGGCTCTACCACTTGAGCCACACCTAAGTCCTTTTTGCTTTAGTTGTTTTTCAGAAAGAGCCTTGAGTTTGCTTTTATCTGGGCTGACCTCAAACTTTGATTTCCTCATCTCTGTCTCCTGTGTAGCTGGGATCACAAGTGTGAGCCACCACACCTGGCCCCCTTTTTTTGTTCAATATGA